AAAAAATAGACATCAAATGCTCTAGCTACAAACTGTCTCTCTCAGATGTCTCCTTCTGTTCAGTTTATTCTTTCTATTCTATTGATTTTAATGGAATTTACACTGCAGGACCTTTCCCTGTCAATGGGACTATAGACTCCAAAATGCATTTATAACAAAGTTGTTGTTTTTCATTTAAATGGAAGCATTCAGTGGAGCAGATTACCTTAAATCAGGCCATATAGTTTCATAGTTGGTAGGGTCGGAAGGGACCTGAGCAGGTCATTAAGTCCAACCCCCTGCCTTGGCAGGAAGGAGTACTGAGATCAAATGACCCCAGCAAGGTGTTCATCCAGCCGCCTCTTAAAGACCCCCAGAAGAGATATAGCGCTGCATGTGCAGTAAGTAATTGACAACTAAAAATCACATGGCTACAGTGTAATTGAGGGTTTCTTAAGTATGTCATCTTGTTACCAGAATTTCAAGACTTTTGATAGTTGCCTTTTTAGTTGTAAAACATGGATATTATTCTCTAACTGTTTTCCTTACATTCTTCCTCTCACCACCTCTCTCTCTAGTCTCACTTCTAGAGATAAGTGTTTGCTAGTTACTGCTTCTCACAGCAGCATTTTCCATTTATTATATTTATAAAAGCTTATTTGGAGGTTTCTAATTCTTGTAAGCTTTCTAAGTGAGACTGCTTACAGGTACTAGTGTTCCATGTGGAAAGCCACTACTGACAGTCACTTGGAAAGCCATGACATTTCATAGTCATCTGATCACGTTGGAGACCATTTTATTTGTATTGTCTTTAATACAGTTACATTGGCTTCTGCCGCAGGAAAGTGCTGTGAATTCCATTGCTAATCTGCTTGGTGAGAGGCTTTGGCGATAGTGAAACTTGATTTTACTGGTTCCTGAGTGGGTGCCCGCTAATCTGTTTGTGTTGAGAATGCAGTGATATTTTCTTAACTTAGAATTTGAGAATTTGACAACGTAAAGGACTTTTTGATTGTCATAACCAGCCTCTGAAGTGTTTCTGACCTCACTTGGCCTTGGGATTGAGATCTGGGAATTTATATCAAGGAATAAATGCAAATCTCCCACACATTTGGCGCATGCTGTAGCTAACCC